ATCAGATGCTGCGGCTTTATGGCAATTAGTGCAAGCTCTGCTTAGAATGGATGCTTCATAGCTTACTTAATAACCCACATGAAAAATTTGACTAAGTTTTCATGTTTTAAGTCTCATTTTTAAATCAGTTTATCCTGTTAGAAAAACAACTTTGCTATATGCAACTGTTTTAAAAAACAAGCAAACAAACCAACCACAAACATGAACTTTTAATCCAGGAAACGCTTCTAGTGTTACTCAGGCAAGAAAAGCCAGTCTGTTCTTAAGCTTTATATAAAGCAACCTATACAGAAGCAGCAGGTTGATCAGGGGAGTACCTAATAACAGCTGTTGGCATTCAGGATGGTGTTCAGGAAACATTTGCCAGTAAGTAAGTATAGCCAGAAAGAAAATCTAACATGTTTAATTATATGCAGACATCAATGAAGTATTTGCAATCTTAGTAGCAAAATACACATTTCATTGTTATATGTGGGAGGGCATGTAACATTTTCAATCTGGATGCATCTATGTTCTGCATGGTTTCTTATGAATCATTTTGCAAAAATAGCAGGAAGGGATTGCAACATTTATATTGAAGAAAAAAGTGCTTTTAAGCAAACATAATTATTTCATTGGTAATAGGAAGAGTTTACTGTAAGTTTAGACATTCAGCTTAAAGAGGATACTGTTCGAGAAGTCTCACTACTAAGGGAAGAAGGATTGTGGGTTCTTAAGCCCTGCAGAGGCTTATTACAACCAAGAAACCAGCAAATAACAGAAAAACACTGCTACATCCTTGAAATTAGACTTTTCCACACAATCATGAAGGAAGCTAAAGAAATATGCTTATTTCTGACAAACCAAGAGTATATATAAGAAAATAAAATATTTCTGAACCTACAAAAGACAGCAAAGCTGGTGGAAAACTTCTTGGGCATCCAGTCTATGTATAGGGGCAGGTGTCTGGGAAGAGGAATTGCTAAATGAGTTCATTTCATAGCGGACAGCTATTTGTTGATGCTACATCTTCACATTCAGGCAAGAGAAAAAGTAACAGTTCAGTAAACCATGAAAGAGAGAAAAACTGGAGGAGAGCTCAGGTAAAAAAACAGTTCCAAAATATACTACTTCTATATATGAATGACATCCAACTAAATATAATTCAATCAAGAACTCAGGGAAATGTGTAGGAATGCAAAGATCCATGCTGGCATAGCCCAGAGCAGCCCTGAAGTCTAGGATTCAAAGAAACCTAAGAAAGGTCACCAAGCTGATCCCTGCATCGTAGCGAGCTCGTTTTAACTTCCTGCAGCCACCCCTAGAGATGAGGGCTGAGACTGCTTCTGAATGATCCCAAGAGCAAAACCTACATGTCACTTCCTTTCAGAGCAAACAGTTTATTTCCCCTTAGATTTTTAAAGTCACTCCACTGCTTCGTGCTTTATCTTTAAGCAAGTGCTGAGGATAACTGTGCCCACCCTCTTCAAACATCCCCTAGGTAGAATGATAAGCTGAATGCTTATTACTGGGGGCCTTTACCATTTACAATTATTGTTTTTTCATACCCATTTCATTTCGACTAAAAGAGCTTAAAGCACTTGAGAACTATAAAAAGAGTCACTAACTATGCAATTAAAAATAAATTTGTATTCTTAATAGCATACCACCCACTGCTGGAGAACATCTCTTCCTTCCATACCTAGACTACAAGCCCATATCTTACTCATGAAAGATCTTAAATATCTGTTTAACCACAGTATCAAAACACTGCAATTAAGGTAAGAAACAGATCATCGTGAGTTTAACATAAACTTTTTTCTACTTGAGAAAAGCAGGAACACACAAAAAATCTGCAACCAAGCTTTACTTCTCCACAAGCTAGCGATTTGCTATTCACTTAGTGAAACAATACTGTGATTACCCCTGAACGGAAATACACAGATACAGCAAAGAGGAGATATTTTACTTTTATCTGTTTTTTTCTGTGAACTTCACACATATATTCACTGACAAACTATAACTAAAGCTAGGCTGTATGATCTTCATCTAACCGACCAAAAAAACTTCAGCTGAAAGAGCATAAGGTTATCTTCTAAATGTGCATTATTTTCTAAAAGATTAATAAAGTAGATTACTAATAAAGTAAAAAAGCAGTTCTGTGTTAATTTATACTTCCTGAAGATGTAGTCAAATATTGGCCACTAGCAGTTTCAGAGGAAAATGGGACAGTATCATCCATAAAGAAAGAGAAATAAAGGGGGAATATGATGGAACAACTTAATTACTAATATCAGATTTTAATGGTCACTCTTTCTGGCTCTGCCTCATGCATCAAAAATGGCAAGTGACCTTTGCATGAGCCTAAGATCCTGAAAAAAGGGAAACATGAGGTCCAAAACAGGAAGAAAAAAAAAATGCAGTAAGGGAGGAAGATAAGAGGATCAAGAACAAACCACAACAATTGGAGAGAGGGTTCTTCTGCACTTTCAATCCCAGTATAATTTTAAAACCTGTTTTTAAGACTAGCAAGACCTATGCTACACTGCAACAGAGAGGCATCACTCGCATTTCTTCCACAACTCCTCACCTTCATAACCACAATTCTGCATTATTTCTACAAAAATCACAAGTTTTATCTGCAAAGATCCTATCGTAATGTCATAAGTAATAATTACTAAAGATATTTAAATTAAACCCACTGAATTAGACAGCACTGACTAGTGACAATGATGCAAAACATATACATCTCACCCCACCCTGCCCCAGACATAGCTAGAACAATTCTTACACGAGGCAACATATATGTTGTGGATATATTTGTGGATTTTATTTTTCAAAAGCAATGCTTATGATGCTTTATTTTTCCATTTTATATTCTTCTCCCCTCACTATTAGTGCCTTCTTTTGTCTTAGTATGTCACAGAAGTGGGGAATTGAGTCAGTTAATTATACCAGCACTTTTCTTATTCTTTAGTCCTTTTCTTCGCACCCAAGCTGATTAAATCCCAACTCAAAATGTGAAGTACTGCAATCTAGAAGACCCGCCAACTCATCCTACTGCTGATACATCCCACAGGGAAAAAATGTTCATGCAGTTCTCCAGTACTATAACCATGGGATAATATTCAGCAGAAAACACTTCTATTTCTGCATATATATGATCCAGTTTACAAGTCCGAGTTGGCAACCTGTCAAATTACCTATTGCAATTACCTGTCAAACACTTCTCCTCTCAGGGTACTTGCAGGCTATAATCTTGAAACATACAATCATTATTACTACTACTACTATTATTCATGGGTTTGCCACATATTCTAGGCAGCTGCTGCACTGCACTCTTCTTGGCAGTCTTAAGTTCATGTCACCTCCATGACTTTATTCTGAAATTAAGTTATGCTAGCTCAGAAAATAAAATATATACATACAGTTAAGGGAATTGCAGAAATATGTTTATTACTTCTTTCAGCAACAAATCAGCAATATTTCAGCATTTCTAGTTACCAGAGAGCTCAAGCAAGGGCAGACTTCTTTCACTGTATTTTCTTGTTCAGCAGAATGCCTTAGTTGCTCATGTATATTTAGTCACCCTAATGTTTTTTTTCCACCAAGGCAAGGAAATTTCCTTGATACAGAAGCAGGTTACATGACTTCAAGAACAAAAACCAGATCTCCTGATTCTCCGGTAACATGCTAACCCAAAAAGGTCCTTTGTGAATTCATACAACAGTAGCATTGCTCAAAAGCAGGCTGGCTGGTGCTACAGAAGTGGAGTCAACTGGAGCAACCTGCGAAGAACAAGAGCTTGCCATGACAGTGTTCGTTCTCCAGGAAGCTTTCAAGCTGCTTCTCGTGGAGCTTCTTCACTGCTTTTTTTTCATTTGTTTTCCTCTGCAGTCCAACTGAATTTACATGAAGGCAATCTACATGCGTGTGTTTGTGTATCTTGCACTGTTTTTACCAGTATTTTGCTGATAGAATGTAAGTAAGGTTAGGAACACAATTTTAAAAGCAGCAGTGAAATTGCCTGGTAAATGCATCTTTCATGAGCAATCCCACACATGTTCCACATCTAGTTTTAAGGGGGTAACAGCTATATTTTATGTACGGCTTAAAAACAGATGTCTGATAGAACTGCTGTCACCATTATTTTGAATTCATGCAAAATGTTCTAAACT